TTTCATGTTTTTTAAAAAATCCTGTAAACTGTTCCAGGAGTAATATGCTGAGAGGCGGTCTAAAAATATCATTTAAATACACACACTCACAATCAATTTTATTGCTATGACAAAAATGTTTTATTGTTTGGTAAAGGTGCATTAAAATTGTGTCACCAGAAATACCCATAGGATGGAGTATAAAGGGCCACTGTTGGCTTGCCTTCTGCCTCACCTGCAGGAAACTGATCACAACATATGTAAAAACAGAGAAACATTTTCAGTCTTTGAAAATATTTATCTACTCATTTACCTTCCCATATCTTTATACCATTACCCCCAAATAAGAATATGAGGCATCAGTATGCAGGTTAACTCATTTATTAATGCCTGGGCTAAATGAAACATATAGGGTTGCCAGTTGGGAAATTCCTTAATATTTGTGGTCAGATCCTGGGGAGTTTGGGGATGGAGGGAGCTCAGCAGGGATGTGATACAATAGAGTTCCCACTCCAAAGTTTCCATTTTCTCTAGGGAAACTGATCCCTGCAGTTTGGACATCAGTTGTAATTCTGGTCAATCTCCAGGCTTTGGCAACCCTAGAAACATTGCTGAATAAATGTGAGTTGCTGCTAGTGAACAACCTATTATGGTTACCAGCAGGGGTCATTTTGTAGAAAAAGAGCTAGGGGGACTCATTAGCATAACTCATTAGCATATGCCACACCCCCTGACATCACCGGAAGTGTGTCCTCCCCACAGCCGGCGGCGACCTCCAGCGGGCACCAGCAGGGAGCTCCAGGCCCCGCCCTCCCGCACCTCACCCGGGGGGATGGCGTCCCCCCGCGTCCCCCCCAAATGACCCCTGGTTACCAGTGTTTTGGGCACACCCACCCTGGTTCCGAGGGGGTTTGGCCCATTCAGCTGATCAAGCCAATGATAGGTTAGTTCCTGGGGTTGCCTGAAGCTCTGGATGCTTCCCAGCCACAAAAATCCATGTGCATCTTGTGAGAAACAGTGGAGGCATTGGGGTGGGGGCTTACCAGGAGCAAAAGGAGTCCGAAGCTGGTATTGCCAGCAATGCAGTGAAGTAATTTCTGGCGTGCACTGGAAGTGGCATCATCACATCACTAGCCATGTGGAGACTCTCTGGTATTTGGGCAAAAACTCTGTGGTAGAAGTCATTTTTACCATAGAGCTTCATCCAAATACCAGAGCATCCTGCCTTGCTGGCAATATGATGACATCACTTCTGGTGCACTCTGGAAGTGGCATTGCTGTGCTACTGGTGAAGCCGACCTAGGCCTCCTTTTGTTCCCAGTAAGTCCCTGTGCCAGCCAGCTAATAACAACTGGGGAAGAGGCCCTAGGCCAGTGGTTCCCCCATCCCTGGTGGGGGCCTGGCAACTCTACTGAGTAGGGATGCCAGCCTCCAGATGGAACCCGGGGATCCCTCGGAATTTCAGTTCATATCCAGACTACAGAGATCAGTTCCCCTTGAGAAAATTGATGTTTTGGAGGGTGGATTCTCTGGCATTGTACCCTGTCCTCCCCAGGCTCCATCCCCAAATCTCCAGGAATTTCCCAACGCAGAGTTGGTAACCCTAGTTTCTCTGATGTTATGGAATAGTTTTACGTAATAAATTGTATACATTTCTCTTGTAGTTTTGTACGGCTTGCAAAATGACTGTTTAGAGGGGCATTTGTCACCTCAAAATGATTGTTTTGGAGTGCCTTAAATTTAAAGCTTTTTTCCCTGGTGGTTGCTTTATCTATTTATTTAGTTTTAGAATTACACTTTTGTACTGTTTTATTGTTCCCCTAGCTATCTGGGAGAAAGGTGGGCCTGCACATTTCCCAAAGATATAAGGTCCTGTATCCAGAGATGCATGAGCAGAAACATTAGCAGACTTAATGCAGTTTCACTAGAACAAAATCTTATGCAAGCAAAAATGCAAGTGAGAATGGGATAAATCTGCCTTAGCACAAGCAACTGCCATGGTGTGTGTATTTGCTTGTGCAAGAGCCCTAGTGCTAGTGTAAATTTTGGACTGGATCCAGCCCAAGGTCTCTGGCCTGCATCCTGTATAGACCTAAAATATCTCCCTCCCCTTCACTTCTCACCCCCCCTTTTCATATCCATCCTGGTAGAGTTCTGTAGAACTCAAAAGTTTGTATACTCTTTTACCATTTATTGATTTGTCTTCATTAAAGGAAGTGTACAACTTTTGTTTATGACCATTACATTGAAAAACAGCATAAAGGCTTGGAAGTATTAGTTTCATTTATTTTATTTAACCTATTTATACCCTGCCTTTCCCCCCAAAGTGGCTAACATCTCCTCCCATCTATTTTATCCTCACATCCTATCTGAGGGGTACTTTAGGCTGACAATGTGTGACTGGGCCAAGGTCTCCCAGCAAGTTTCAACGGCCAAGCAATTTGTATCTGGGCCCCCCCAGATTCTAGTCTGACACTATTACCACTGCACTATATTGACTATATTTTGCATACTGCAGCATTTGCTGGAGTATCTGCTTGTGACATTGAGTCTCTGTCCAGGAAAAACCACCATCATTAGATCTAATTCTGAAGATGGCTGTGGATACAGATGATTATATCTGCAGATTAAGGCCATGTTCAAAGGTCAGCCTTTCTAGAGACTTGGGAGAATCCCCAGATTTTCAGAAGTCTTTAGCTGTAAAACAATAAGGGGAGAGGGAATTCTTTTTTTTTTTTTTTAAGGTTTTTCAATGCTGAAATCTCACAGGATTTCCTCACAATATCTTGGCAGCTGTTTCAGATTGCAGAGGCAACTCTGGTAACCCAAAATGGCTGCTGCAGCTTCACTTCAACAATGGAGGTGAATTTGGGAAAGGAGCCGTCAGGCAAGCAGGGCAAGGCAAGAAGGAAGGTGGTGGTGGATGGGAGGAAGGAAAGAAAAATGGAGTGAAAGGGGGAAATGAAGTCTGGAGGGAATAAGGAAGGAAGGAAGGAAGGAAGGAAGGAAGGAAGGAAGGAAGGAAGGAAGGAAGGAAAATCTGCAGATGAGGAGGAAGGAAGCACTAGTGGAAAAGTGGCAGGGGGAGATGAGACAGGTAGCTGGGAAGGAACTAGGAAAAGGAGCTTAATTGCGGGGGCTATGAGGGAGGGAAGGAGGGTAAACTGAGATAAGTTTGGGAGGATGATCAGCTGTGGGAGATAATATTTCTCCCCCACAAGTCCTCATGGGTCCCATGTTTGTAAGATCCTAATTTGTAACATTCTATTGGCTAACGGGCAGTATGCCCTAGATTAAAGTTATTTCCTGAAGCAGCAAGACGTCAGAGTGGCCCATTAAAGTACTGGGTAAATGAAAAGTGCATTTTCTGAGTTTATTTTTTTTTTTGGCTGAAATGCTTGTAAAAAGAAAACAAATGTAGCTACGGAGCAAACTTGAGAAGAAAATTAGTAGCCATATTTCAAGGGCCAAGGTAGAAGCTGTGCCACACTCTAATTACTTGTGTTTGTTGTATGTGTATGGCCCATGTGCTTTAATTTGCACATAACGTGTTTGCAATCACCAGGTGATGTTTCATAATTCACTGAGCACAATATGTGCCAGGATGACAAAAATAGGCAAGTATTAAAGTTGGACTATTCAGGAAATAGCTAAGCAAAATGGATGACGAGCACTCCGATTTCTAAACAAAAGAAACCGTTGTGGTAAGTAGGATTGCTGATAGGTTTGCAGCAGTTTTTGTTCTGAAGCCATGGGAAAAAACAGTGGAGACAGCTGTGACTCATTAAGTACAGTTGCCTATCCCTCTCCCATTGTTCACTCCATATAGCAGTGATTGAAACCACTTGCCCCTTGAATGAAGACTAGAAAATAGCTGCTTCCCCTGGTAGGGTAGCCAAGTCCATCTTCCACCCCCAGCGGGGGACTTCGAACCGAACGTAACGGATGGAAGTGTTCCTGACTCTGCGGTCCCAGAGTCGAACGAAGTGCCACTGACGGAGATGTGCCCTGAGCCTAGTCCACCTAGGAGGTCTCAGAGAACGAGAAGAGCACCTTCCTACCTAAGTGATTATGATTGTTCGTAGTTGTTTTTGCTTAGGGGGGAGGGATTTGTAATGTATTCAGATGCTGCCCTGAATGCATTAGGAGGTATGTGAATCCTCCCATAGAGAAGCCATGCAAAGCTTCAAGCTTCGGCAGGGATTCGCGCCGAAAAGTATTGTGGCCAATCAGATTTGAATGTTTGTAAGCGGGACCGCTTATGATTGGTCGTTCATGCACACAACCTGATAGGTTGGTTTAATGTACAGTAGGTGTGGCTACATTAGCCCGGAGTGTTTAAATACCGAGCAGCTGAAATGGACAAGCTGTTCGGGCTATGAGGAGTTGTACCGTGTCAGAAGAAGTCGATTGAAGAGCTGAATAAACTTGAGTTTTGCTGAATCACTCTCTGCCTATTATTGTTAAGCACGGACTTAACAATTGGCGACGAGGATGGGATCCAGGAGCGGGTAGGCAGCCCCGCTGGTCCCGACCCAACGACGGACAACCAAGAGCAGCAGCTCGCCGTGGCAGAGCAGCGACAGGCACCACCAGCACCGGTGGCAGCGATCGCAGCTATGGCCAATAGCCCGAAGTTCGAGGCATTCGAACCAGCGACCGAGGACTGGGACGCCTACCTGCTGAGGTTCGGGTTCCACCTCGAAGCGAACGACATCACCACGGAGGAGAAGAAGCGAGCCACCCTCCTGAGCTCTTGTGGCAAGAGCGTGTTCGATGTCGCCAGGTCTCTGGTGGCACCAGCGGACATCGGAACAGTGCCGTTCAAAGAGCTGACGGAGAAGTTGAAGGCACACTTCTCCCCGCAACCGTCGGAGATCGCTAGCCGGCACGCGTTCTTCAAGAGGAACCAAGCGCCCAACGAGACGGTGTCCGATTTTGTAGCGGCTCTACGTAAAGCGGCCAGACCGTGTAACTTCGCCGACGTAGAGGAGGCCCTGCGAGACAGGCTGGTGTGTGGCATGCGGGACGAGCGGCTTCAGCAGCGCCTGTTCGCAAAGGCGAAATTGACCTGGGCCGACGCCTACAATGAAGCCATCGCAGCGGAGACAGCGGACAAATCGACCCGTGAGGTGCGTCAGCGTCTGGCTGCAACAGAGCTTCGCGTTCACCACCAGGGGTCCGAAGGAGAGCGTGAGGGCGCGGCTGAAGACGTCTGCGCTGTGAAAGGGCCTACGAACCAGTGGACCCAAGTGAGGACTTCGCCCACTCCTCCTTGCACCGGCTGTGGCGGCAAGCACTCCAGAGAAAGCTGCTGGACCAAGGACGTCGACTGCAGAGCATGCGGAAGGCGGGGCCACATCGCTCGTGCTTGCAGAGCGCCAAAAGTTTCAACGCCCTCAAACAAGCCCAGGTAGCAACGTTCCCGAGCCGCACAGCATGAAACCAGCTGCCAGGTCGTACGATCAAGCGCACCTTCGGTCCAACGAATCGGAGGCACAGGCAAGATCAACGTGACGGTCCATCTAGACGGCGTTCCGTGCGGTGTGGAGGTCGACTCGGGATCGTCGGTGACCGTGATTTCGTCCAAGTCGTGGCAGCAGTTGTTCCCCACCAGGAGTCGTCGCCGGCTGAAGCCAGCAGACACACAAGTGTCCGACTTCCAGGGCAAGCGTATACCTCTGGCAGGGAGGGATACGTTTGAAGTTGAGTTTAAGGGGAAGCGGGCGACCCTTTCATTGTTGGTGGCTGAGGGGGACAGAGTGAATTTGCTGGGGCTTGACTGGTTTGAACCGTTGGGAATTGCTATTTCTGGCATTAATAGTGTAACGAAGAATAAATGGGCTGTACTGTATAAGGAATTTACTGATGTGTTTGGGGGTGGCCTGGGAAAATATACGGGACCCCCAGTAGCGTTTGAACTTGATCCTGCCGTGAGGCCAGTTCGCCTCAAGTATAGGAAGGTTCCTATTCCTCTTAAGCCCAGAATTGAAGCAGAGCTGGACAAGCTCATCGAGCAGGGCGTGTTAGAGCCAGTTCCCTTCAGTCGGTGGGAGACCCCCATTGTGACCCCTGTTAAGCCGGACGGGTCAGTACGCATCTGTGCTGACTACAAATGCACCATAAATCGGGCATTGCAGCAGCACTCGTACCCAGTACCGGTAATTAGCCATGTCTTGGCATCGTTGGGGGGGGGGGAAGTTTTTGCGAAGTTCGACTTGGCCCAGGCTTACCAGCAGCTCCCCGTGACCAAGGAAGCTGCTGAGGCACAGACCATTGTAACACACAGGGGGGCGTTCAAAGTAAACAGGCTCCAATTTGGTGTGAACGTGGCCCCAGGGATTTTTCAGGGCCTCATGGAAGGGCTGTTGAGGGGGGTACCAGGGACAGTCCCTTATTTTAATGACGTTCTCATTGCTGGGAGATCCGATGAGGAACTTATGCACAGGGTCAGAGAAGTGCTCAAGCGTTTCCGTAAGGCCGGATTGAAAGTAAAACAATCCAAATGTTTGATAGGGGTGGATAGCGTGGAATTCCTGGGGTTCAGAGTGGACCAAAATGGCGTACACCCCACAGACGAGAAGGTGAGAGCTATCAAAAATGCCCCTTGCCCCATGAATAAAAAAGAGCTGCAAGCCTTCCTCGGGCTGCTCAATTTTTATCACGCCTTTCTCCCCCACAAGGCGTCCGTGGCGGCACCTTTACATGCGCTCCTTCACAAGGACGCAAAATGGCGGTGGGGTGCTGAACAAAAAAAGGCGTTTGAAGGGGTGAAATCATTGTTGTCATCAAATGCAGTGTTGACCCATTACGATGACCAGAAATTGTTGGTCTTGGCCGCAGATGCCTCTCCTTATGGGGTGGGGGCGGTATTGAGTCATGTACTGGAAGACGGACGGGAGGCCCCCGTCGCGTTTTACTCAAGGTCGCTATCTGAAGCTGAGAAGAACTATGCTCAAATAGACAAAGAGGGACTGGCGCTGGTATCAGCAGTTAAAAAATTTCACGATTTCTTGTATGGCAGACATTTCCTACTTGTGACGGACCACAAGCCGCTGCTTGGAATCTTTGCCCCGGACCGGCAACTTCCAAATATAATGTCTGCCAGAATGCTCCGTTGGGCCTTGTTTTTGTCGGCCTATGACTATGACCTGGAGCACCGGCCGGGCAAGGCCATCGGACATGCGGACGCATTAAGTCGTTGCCCGCTGCCCGGCCGAGATTTGGACCCTGCGCCAACGGCCTCTGTGTTGGCCATCGAAGAACTGCCGCAAGCACCCATCACCTCCAAGGACATTGCCGCTGCGTCGGCTAAGGACAGTGTAATTGCGAGAGTTCTTAACTGGGTTTGGAGGGGGTGGCCGATGGGTGCTATGGAGCCGGAATTTCGCATGTACAAAGCGCGCCAAAACGAGCTGTCTGTGTCTAAGGGCTGTTTACTGTGGGGAAACCGGGTGGTGGTGCCTCACTGCCTCAGACAAAAAGTGCTGAAATCACTCCATGAGGGCCATCCAGGCATGGTCCACATGAAGGCACTGGCCCGTGGTTATGTGTGGTGGCCCGGGCTTGATGCGGAAATCGAGGATTGGGTCAGAGTGTGTGAGCCCTGTCAGCAGGCTAGGCCTGAGCCGTCAACCGCCACTCCGCAGCGTTGGGAGTCGGCGGGAAAACCTTGGTCGAGGCTCCACCTAGATTTTGCGGGGCCAGTTCAGGGACAAATGTTCCTTATTATTGTTGATGCGTATACGAAATGGTTGGAGGTTGCGCACATGCATTCCACCACTTCCGGGTCTGTCATCAATGTGCTGCGGCGCCTGTTTGCGACCCATGGTATACCCGATGTATTGGTCAGTGATAACGGGACGCAATTTACATCTATGGAGTTTGAAAAATTTCTGGCTGATACCGGAATCAGGCAGATTACATCGGCCCCATTCCACCCGGCTTCGTATGGCCAGGCGGAAAGAATGGTAAGAACCACCAAAGAAGCACTGAGTAAATTGGTTTATGGTGACTGGGGGGTAAAGCTAGCTTCGTTCTTGCTCAGACAGCATGTTACCCCTTGTTCAGCAACTGGCCGCAGTCCGGCCGAAATGCTGATGGGCCGGAGGCTGGCAACCCTATTAGATAGGTTGCACCCGGACCTGAATGACCTTAAACCACCACAGCAGAGTGAACAAACGAAGGTACGCATATATGAGAAAGATGACAAGGTGTATGCGAGAAATTATGCCAGTGGTCACTTGTGGCTCCCAGCCACTATTGTTGAAACTGTTGGGTCCAGAATGTATGTGGTACGACTTGCTGATGGTCGCAAGTGGCGTAGGCACGTAGACCAGTTGAGGCAACGGTGGGCGACTGACCGACCCAACGCGTTGCCAACTGAGTCAATAGACCCCGAGGACCTTCCGAGACCTCCCCTGGAGGCGAGTGCTGACGGGCCTGAGGGCATCAGCACTGTTCCAGAGGCTGGGCAGACCCCTCCTCTCGAACTAGGTGTAACGGATGGAAGTGTTCCTGGCTCTGAGGTCCCAGAGCCAACCGAAGTGCCATTGACGGAATTGAGCCCTGAGCCGAGTCCACCGAGATGGTCTCAGAGAACGAGACGAGCACCTTCCTACCTGAGCGATTATGATTGTTCGTAGTTGTTTTTGCTTAGGGGGGAGGGATTTGTAATGTATTCAGATGCTGCCTGAATGCATTAGGAGGTATGTAAATCCTCCCATAGAGAAGCCATGCAAAGCTTCAAGCTTCGGCAGGGATTCGCGCCGAAAAGTATTGTGGCCAATCAGATTTGAATGTTTGTAAGCGGGACCGCTTATGATTGGTCGTTCATGCACACAACCTGATAGGTTGGTTTAATGTACAGTAGGTGTGGCTACATTAGCCCGAAGTGTTTAAATACCGAACTAGCTGCAATGAAGTGTGAGTTGTCAGATGACAAATGTTTGGGCTATCAAGAGTTGTACCGTGTCAGAAGAAGTCGATTGAAGAGCTGAATAAACCTGAGTTTTCTGAAATCACTCTCTGACTACTTTGTTAAGTGCGGACTTAACACCAGGGTTGTTCCAAAGCTCATGGAATGAAACTTTCTCACTTCCCTCTTCCAGTTTCATCCCAGTGAGCCTCCTGAACTTTTGCCCTTGGGAATCAAGTGGTCCTCATGAATTGTGGTGGTGGTGAGGAGCAGAGGTTGGCAGTGACTGGTGAAAGCTGACCTCTCCTTTGTCAACAGAAGTTCCATTCAGCTACTGTAGTGCAATTATATTTGTGGAACAGCACCTGGTTCTCTGTGGTGATGACAGGACTGGTTTTAGTGATTCTGAGATCCTGGGCTACCAGAATCAGTACCCCCTGCCACTCCCTCTGCCAGGGCCACCTCAGGCTCAAGCAAGGAGTGGCCCTCAAGCTGGCAGCTGCGGGGGGGGGCATGCATTGCTGCTGAACCAGCTGTCTGAGCCCTGGAAGAGGTAGGCATACATGGCAATGGGACCCTGCTGTCCCTCTCTTTTCCCCATCTGTCAGGGAGGCAGAGCTGTTGCCCTGGGTTCCTGCTCTGTTTAGGTCAACCCAGTGTTGCCCATTCTGCTTTTTCCTTCTTTTTTGCTGTGAAGGGTTGGGGGTGGAGATTGTTCTCTACACTATTTTAAAAAAACCCCACTGGGATGTTTTTTGTTTAGGGGGCTTTTCCTGTCTGGGGGGGGGGCATTCTGCCACATCCCAAATTTACTAAACTGGTTCGGTTCATCAGAGGCCATTTTGGGTTGGGTTCGTTTTGGGACTCGGCATGAACCACAAACGGAACCGCTTTCTTTCAGTTTGTACCCATCCCTAGGATTAACCCAATATAGCCACCCAAATATTTTAATCTTAATTTGGAAGTGTTTTAATATTTGTGTTTTAATGTGTATTATTTTCAAATTGTTTACATTGGCCCCTGCCACACGGCAGGGGAAAAAGCGGCACCAAGTGTGGCTTTTAAAAGCCGCGCCAAATTTGAAACGGCACGGCGGGATCCCACGGATCCCCTGGCCGCGCCGCCTTTTCTCCCCGGCACGATCAGACGCCGGGGAGAAAACACAGTTTGGACGGCTAGCCAGCCGAACTGCGCATGTCCGAGCATGCGCAGTTCGGCTCGGAGCCGGGGATGCGCCGGCGATCAAACGCCCGGCTTGCCGCGCTGCTTCCACTTGAACCACCAAGGCAGGTGGTTGCAAGTTGAGGCGCATTTTCCCGGGAAAGGGCCAGTTCGGGGACGGTATCACGATGCTTCCCAGATGTTGTGGTGTGATCGCGCCGGTTTGATCCGCCCCCGAACTGTCCCGCTCCCGGGCCAAATCGCCTCGTGTGAACGGGACCATTGTTTAATGTTAATTGTATTAATTGTACGTTTTATGATGTTACCCGCCCTGAGCCTGCTTGCGGGATGGGCGGGCTATAAATACAAATAATAAATAAATACATTCATCATTAATTTTACAAGTGGATTGTTGACTTTTGTGACCACTCTCTATGGGGGCACATAGTCCTGGTTCCTATTTGAGTGCCAGCAGTCTTCATATGATGGGGCAGTGGGAAGATACTCCTTTCCTCTACCATAAACAGAATATATAAGTCAGACCTCCTCTCTGTTTCCTGATCATGTGGTATCTGCCATTTCCAAAGCCAAAAAATGGCACTATGCAGTCAAATGTCAGAATGAAAAACTTGACTCATAGATCGGTTGATGCGCATCATCCAGGCAAGATGTGCCTACTCAGTTTTCTGTCCAGTGCTAGTATCATATGAACCCACAAATATGGACATTCTTGTGACAACATAATAACATTCATGATCAGCTCTGTGATATTGGCACAGCAGAAGTTTCAAAAGTTGCCACTGCTTAAGAACCAATTAAAGCATTAATTTTGGCAGATATAGAAACTACACACAATTTCACAGCCGTGCAAAAACAAGTTCATGCTGAGGGTATACTGATCTGAATTTTCTTCAGTCTCACATTTACAACCTGATATGGATCTGGACAAAGTCTTTGTGTTCCAGATTCAAGCATCATACTTTTTGCCAAGTAAGCCAGATAAAGATCTTCTTGCCAACAACAATAACAACTCAACAGGCCCTCAAAGAGTGAAAATGAGAGTGATATTTTCCTCCTGAAATTAGCCCTATGATTCCAGAGACTTTCTGTCAGCTCGATCCATCACAACACTTCAGGGGAAATAAATGCCAACGTTTACTAACCTAGGCTTACTTGTATCTTTGATTAAATGGTATTATTTGAATTAATGTTTAATACAGACTTCTTTAATTACAGATCCCAAAGGTATGGCAAGCCAAAGAACCCATTAGGTATAAGCAAAGCCATTAGCTACAAGCAAAGCCATGGGCTAAGAATGGTGCTTTAGGTAGGAATTAAAACAGGGGGAGGGGAAAAATGAAAGCCAAAGTGCAGTTGAAACCTGCACAAATGTTCCATGATATCAATGGATGACTCAAGCTTGAACTGAATGCGTGAATGGTCAAGTTAAAAACAATTAAAACAACCTAAATAATTCCACTAAGAGTTTACTGGTGTCACATAAGACGTATACAATTTAGTATAAGATGTGTACAATTTTTAGTATAAGAGGTATACAATTTTCCCATGGGGAAAAGGAAGGAAGGAGTCAGGATATATGGGAAACAGTTGCTGTCCTCAACCATAGACCTGGAGAAAAATCTCTGTCTTACAGGCCCTGTGGAACTGTATTAAGTCCTGCAGGGCATGGATATCATTCAGCAGAGAGTTCCACCAGGTTGGCACCAGGGCCAAAAAACCCCTGACTGGTTAAGGACAGCTGGATGCCTTTCGGGCCAGGGATCACCAGTAAGTTCCTCTCCCTTGAGCGTAGCACTCTTTGGGAGATATACTAAGAAAGGCAGCCCCATAGATAGGTCAGTCCCAGACCGTTAAGGGCCCTAAATATTAATACCAAAACCTTGAAACGGATCCAGTATTCAACCTGGAGCCAGTCCAGCTGGCAAAGCACCAGTTGAATGTGAGCTGTCAATGGGGTTCCTGTAAGAACCTGTGCCACCACATTCTGGACCAGTGGTAATTTCCGGGTCAGTTTCAAGGGTAACTCTGCATAAAGTGAGTTACAGTAGTCTAGCCTGGAGGTGAACCTTGCATGGATCACTGTGGCTAGGTCAGGATGAGATAGGAAAGGAACAAGCTGCCTAATTTAGCATAGCTGAAGAAACACCAGTCTAGCAACATTTGTGATCTGGGTCTCCATCAATAAGGAGGCATTCAGAAACACATCCAGGCTCTTGACAGTCAGCACTGGTGTTAAAGGCACATTATTAAGAGCCAAAAGATGGCACCCTAACCCTAAGCCCCCTGCCCAGCCACCGAACCTCTGTCTTAGATGGATTCAGTTTCAACTGGCTCTGTTTCAACTATTCAGCCATGGCCTCTAGCCCCTCAGGCAAAATAGCTGGGGCAGTATCTGGCTGGCCATCCATCAACAAATACAGCTGGGTGTCATCTGCATACAGATGACAACCCAGCCTGAAACTCTGTACCAGCTGGGCAAGGGGGCACATACCAAAGGGTCCTAGCGTCACCCTCTGTCCCTGACCTTGGAGAAATGAGGCAAGACACTTTAAGGCCATCCCACAATTTCCTACATTGGCAAGGTGGTGGGTCAACAAATCGTGGTCAACTATGTCAAATGCTGCTGTTTGGTCGAGCAATAATAGCACTGCTGATCCACCTTGATTCAGCTGCCTATGAAGATAATCTGAGGGTGATCAGCACTGTCTCTGTCCTGTGGCCAGGGTGGAAACTGGCTTGGAATGAGGCTAGAGCTGATGTGTCCTTCAGAAAGGTCTGGAACTGTTCCACCACCACTCTCTCAATTACCTTAGCCAGAAATGCAAGGTTTGATATTGGGTGGTAATTGGACAGATCAGTAGGATCCAAAGATGGTTTTTTAAAGAGTGGTGTTACCATTGCCTTCTTTAATCCCCCCAGGTAGACCCCCGGAGACAGATTATAATGTCCACCAGGGGCCCCCATATTCCATCACCACTGGCTTTCACCAGCCATGACGGACACAGGTCTAAGAGGCAAGTGCTAAGATTAACAGCACCCAGGATCCTGTCAATATCAGCCTGGAAGAATCAGCTGAATTTGTTCAATGCTGAATCCAAAGGTGACCAAGGGGCCTCCAGTTCCCAAATTGTATAAACGTTGGCAGGCAGGTCATGGTGGAGTGACAAGATTTTATCCACAAAAAAGCTTGCAAAAGCCTCAAAGCTAATGGCCAGATTACAAATATTTGGGGTTCTCCCCATAAGAGAAGTTAACAACCTAATTACCCTAAATAATTATGTGGATGTGATGAAGGTTATATAAAATTCTCTTTCAGCAGTCTTCACAGCCATCTCATAGGATTTCGTAAACGTCCTATAGGATGTTCTTGCAGCTTTGTCATGAGAACATCACCAAACTCTAGTCATCTAAGCTCCTGCTTCATCTTCTGGAGTTCCATGGTATAAAAAGGGCTAATTTGGGGCGGGAGGGAAGAGGGGGGTGATTTCATCAATGGCTTCAGAATGACGGGTGTGCCAATCTTCTATCAGTGCATCTAATGAATTGCTGGGGGGCATTGGATCCCGCACAACCGTCTGGAACCCATTTGGGTCCATTTCTTAAGATGCGAGCCTGGAAAGCCATTGATGGACATCCTCCTTCACAGTTTGTTCTCTGCCCAGGGGGGGGGGGAATTAAAACATCAAGTGGAGGTTTGCTCCTTGCCAGGAGAACGTGCATTTTGTCACACTTACCATTCCAGAAATTCGTAGTAATGTTTATATTTTTGACTTGGGAATTTGGAATGCACACCCCTAATCAATGTACACATAATGCATTGGTAATATTGTGGAAGGGAAAAGATATGAATATGATAAACCTGAATGCTATCAGAAACTATGTACACACAACTCTAGATGTACAATTTAGTCATTTAAAAATGGATTTCTAATGCACGAGCCACACTTTAGAAACTAGCATACATCATTGAGAAATCTAAAGTGCTCTTTTAGTATTGAATATAAGAGAGTTCACTTCTCCTATAAGAATTCTAGGACAATTTTGTCCCAAATGCAAAGAGGACAACGTGCAAGCTGCACTTATTGCATTTCACCAATGTAGGCTTCACATCTGTAGACACAACACATGAACGATGAAAGCCTCTTTTGTTTCCCAACTTGTGTATGCAAGATCTCTGCATTCTAGATCACAGATTCAAGAGATCGGATCATGATGAACTTTTATTAAGGACCAATGTCATCTGAGCCATTCATGGAGTACTGGATCAATTCAGCATATTTCTCCATTGCTTCCTGGTTTATCATCCCAGCATTCTGTGCAAAGCACGCATGCATTTTGCTGCACTGCAGCCCATTTGATGCTCTGCCATAATATCTCTCATTTTGACATCTCAAGAACAAGTGGGCACAAATGCCAGAGACCCAGAGAACTGACAACTGGTAGGACTAATGCTGTAATTTATGATTCTTTCAAAGTGAGTAGAAAGAAGGGTGAAATTATTGCAGGAAAGAAAGGTTGGTGTCAAGGGACTCCAAAACTTCTAAGTGTAACTACCTCCAGTAGCTGAGACGGGGATGACATACACAAAAATCTCCCCCCCCCCTTTTTTTTTGCCATCCTGAGAGCAGATGAAAGAAACTTGTCATTCCAACTTCACAAAACAGCACTAGAGATGAAACGCTCAACTCCACTGGGACAGCCATTTTTTGCTGTTATTACAGAAGAAAATTATAACCATAAAAATGTCCAATTTAGAAAAAAAGGTGCCACTTTAGTGTCATTTGCATAAAAGCTGTTACATACAAATTGTTATAAAGACAAATGTGTAGTACTCTTGTTGAAAATTGCTTATATCTTAGGTGCTTTGCCTGAAACGACATAAAGGCCTCTTCAAACTGAAATTCATTCTCAGGTAAATAAAGCCGAAAGGGAATTTTCACCTATTTGTCTGTACGTGAGCAGTTTCGCATATAGTCTTTAGGAGATTTTTCGACATGCTCTCCCAACCCTTCCCATATTTAAACTCTTCCCCATTTTGCCTGCTTGGTGGCCTCCATTACACTTGCTTGGCTTTAGAGATGGGAAAGTGTAGCACAGTTTGCCCCGATGCTAATAAGAATTCAAATCTATACATTTGCTTGAAATATCTTACTATAAGGCTGTTGCAGCCAATACCTGTTCTGTTACTGAAATTTGAAGCCAAGGAATGCAAACATGAGTTATGTGGCACTAGTATCTAGATTCCCATATAGAATCATGTGATCTCGCAGAAGGGTAGGGCCATGGCTTAATGGCAGAGCATCTCCTCTGCACGCAAAAGATTCTTGGTTCAATCCCTGGCAATGCCAGTTAAAAAAATCAGGTAGGAGGTGATGTGAAAGATCCCTGCCTGAGATTGTCAGAAGCCACAGCCAGTCTGAGTAGACAATATATATAGACTTTGAAGGACTAATGATCTAAATCAGTATAAGGCAGCTCCACATGTCTATGGAATGGTTCCCTTACAGGAAGTATGCCTTGGAAGTGAGTCAAAACAGTAATAGGAATCACAGTATGTGAAACAGTTAACCACAAGGAGAGAGAAAAAAACCCACCATGATAAGGGTCGCTAAGCACAAGAAATTAATACATTACAATAAAATTTATTCTTATCATATTCTATGTGTCTTCTGGTAAGTAAATAACCCAGTGTGCAATACATACAATCCAATCAACATACATGGTCAAATTCCAACCTGATTGTCAAGGTAACTCGTAAAATCAAATGAAGCGTAAACACTTCAAGTTAAGTCCATACAGTCCAAATATTCTCAAAACTCTCCATTAATCTTGCTTCTTTCTTGATGAGATTCCGGATTATCATATCACTCATTTTGGAGCCTTCCTCGGAAGACTTGGAAGGACTAATGATCTAAACCAGTATAAGGCAGCGCCACGTGTCCATGGGACAGTTCCCTTGCAGAAATTATGCTGTGGAAGTGATGCAGGCATGTAAGTAAACAAGTAGAGTGACCTCTCCTAGACCAGTTGTGTACCATCACAAAATTCCTGAGGCTGATCCTTGGCTTGAAAGCTACCTCATGTGAAAAGCTTCCTGCAAGCAGACAGGTAGAATGTTAGGAACACAGTCGCCAGGTAGAATGTTAGGAACACAGTCGCCTCCTTTCAACTCAGAGCATCTCAAAAGGCCATTTTTGCCTCCAAGATGGAACAGCTCTGTTTTCTGGTTTGTTTAAAAATTTCTCCCTAACTAACAAACAGTAGCCTGAAGAAAAGTAACTTGCCAGATCAGCAGCACCAGGACTTCCTGGCTTCTGCAACCATGCCCTTGTTGCAGGCTACCATGTTCAGTAAGGTCTCCAAACCTCATCTTTCAGGATATCCCCCCCTCCGAGCCCCAGCATTGTGCTAGCCTGAGGGCTGGGTTCTTCCTATTTTTCTACCTAGTTTTGGTCGTAGAGGTGAACTATGCTTGGTGAAATTGATGGGTATCTAATAGAAATCCCAAAGTTGCTCCTAGGTTTCTACTTATTGTTGTTTAGAAACTAGTATTTTAGTTTTCACATTACACGTGGGTGCACGTATCATCAGACATTGATGAGTTATTTATTTAAAACATTTCTATGTGGCTTTTCCACATGGTCCCCCTAGGCAGTGAACATCAAAACGTTAAAACACGTCACTATTAAAACACATTGAAAATGAAGTATATAGAAAATAATTTAGTAAAACATATAAACACACATAACACCAAAACCAGGAAGGAGGCCACTAACAATACAAAAAAGTGTTCACCAGTTGGAGGAAGACAACAATAGAGGGAGACAGATAAATCACCCTGTGGAGAGAAATCCACAGTTTTGGTGCCACAACTGAAAATACCAATTTTTGGGTTGTCATCTGTCTATCCTCAGGTGGCTGGGCACCCAAACAGAGCTGATGGTAGAGGATGGGTAGATTTATACGGGAGAAGGCATTCTTTAAAGTATGTTGGTCCCAGACTGTACAGAGCTTTAAAGGTCAATACCAGCTTCTTGAATTGGGCCTAGAAGCAAATTGTGAGCCAGGGTAGATGGAACCAAACTGGAATGATATCCCTATGACTCACTCCAGTCAACATTCTGGCCACAGTGCCCTGACCTGGATAGTCCAGGCAAGCCCAATCTTGTCAGAACTTGGAAGCTAGGCAGGGTTGACCCTGACAAGTTTTTGGAAGGGCAACCTCCAAGGAATACCAGGGCTGGGACACAGAGGCAGGCAAATATCAAACCACCTTTCTGAAATGTCCTAGCCCCACTAGGGGTCACCAGAAGTCACCATGACTTCCAGGCACTCAAGCACATGTACACACACAAATACAAAAAAAACCACACACACACACACCATGCTCTGACCACAGCCTTCTATATCAACTGTAGCTTCTGAAAAATCTTCAAGGCCAGTCCCATGTACAGTGCATTGCCGTAATCTAACCTAGATGTTACCAGGGCATGCACCAAAGTGGTAAAATCTTTCCCACCCCAGGAAGGGCTGCGATTGGCCACTTCTGCTACCTGTTTATCCAACAGGAGGTCCAGGTCCAGGAACAGTCCCAAGGTACAAATATGCTGCTTTGAGGGTTAGGAAGAAATGAACTCATATATTTATAATGCAGCCAGTATTCTCTTGTGGTACAGTATCTTCAGTGTCTACAACTGGCAGTTGGTCAACTGCAAGGCTTTCATAAATCATTGATAAGTCCCAGTCCATTGTTCTCACTGCTGATTATTTTATTTATTTATTTAAAATATTCACATACCTGCCTTTCTCCTGAGCATCTCAGGACCAAAAGTGGGCAAACACAAGAAGAAGAAGAGGAGGAGGAGGAGGAGATTGGATTTATACCCTGCCCTTCACTCGGAGTTTCAGAGCAGTTTACAAACTCCTTGCCTTTCCCCTCCCCACAACAGACAACCCGTGAGGTAGGTGGGGCTGAGAGAGCTCTTTCCAGAGCTGTCCTTGAAAGAACAGGTCTGACAGAACTATGGCTTGCCCAAGGTCATCCAGCAGCTGCAAATGGAGGAGTGGGGAATCAAACCCGGTTCTTCCAGATTAGAGTCCACACACTTAACCAGTATACCAAACTGGCTTTCTGAGTCAGATTGAGGTGATGAGAGTGGAAGTCCTACAACTGATAGACAACTTAAAAACGAATAAATCACCAGGCCCAGCTGGCCCGGATGGCATACATCCAAGAGTTCTGAAAGAACTCAAATGTGAACTTGTGGATCTCCTGACAGAAATATGTAATCTTTCCTTAAAATCTGCCTCCATTCCTGAGGACTGGAAGGTAGCTAATGTCACTCCCTTCTTTAAAATGGGTTCCAGAGGAGATCTGTGAAATTACAGGCCAGTCAGTCTGAGGTCGATACTGGGTAACTTGGTAGAAACTGTTATTAAGGAAAGAATTAGTAGGCACATTGAAGAAGAAAACCTGTTGAGGTAGACTCAGCATGGTTTCTGTAAGGGAAGATATTGTCTCACTAATGTGTTAGTGTTCTTGAAGGGAGTAAACAAACATGTGGACAAGGGGGACCCAATAGATGTTGTTTACCTTGACTTCCAGAAAGCTTTTGATAAAGTTCCTCATAAAAGGCTCCTAAGTAAGCCTTTTGTGGATCAAAAACTAGCTAATTAATAGGAAACAAGAGTCAATATAAATGGGACATTTTCTCAGTGAAGGGTGGTATGCAGTGGGGTACCACAGGGTACTTGGTCCAATGCTTTTTAACTTGTTTATTAATGATTTGGAGTTGGAAGTAAGCAGTGAAGTGGCTAAATTTGCAGATGACATGAAGTTGTTCAGGGTGGTGAGAACCAGGGAGGATTGTGAGGCATTCCAAAGGGGTAGGGCGGGGTAGAAGTACCCAAAAATAAATAAATAAATAAATCTGTCGAGGATGGGCGAGTGGGCATCAACGTGGCAAATGGGGTTCAATGTGGCCAAGATCAAAGTGAGAGAACAAGTGTAAAGAAAACAGTCACGAGTGTCTGACTCACAAATCAAGTGCTCAACAAGACTTGCAAAGAAAATGCTTACTATGAATTACAGTCTGAAGCACTACAACACAATAAATCAGTTCCTACAAATCATTAAAAAAAAAATCCTAGTGCAAAGGTACACCATCAACATTGTCTCCGGATTATATAACAACATTTCAAAATTGGATCTTCCTCAGGAAATGTTGGAGAGGCTTGTTTTCCTTCTTTTGTCAGATCAGCGTCCCTATACTATCTATTCAGTAGCAAGGTATCTTCTAATTGTTATGAGGATTAGGGAGCATAAAGTCAAATCTTTTGATGGATGATTCCTTTTTCTCTGTGTTACAAACTGCTTTTTCTGTTGTTTATGCTTATAACCTATGCCGACAAAGGGACTGACTGACTGACTGTCAATAAGCAATAAAACAGCAAACATGCAAACATTAAAAACCAATCTAGAAACATGTTATGCTCCCAACCCACAGTGTATTATCCCTGTGCCCCTATACTTCTTTTTCCATTCTAGATTAATTACATGGGCATTCCAGCCAATGAAGAGCCACATCCTGAATGGCAGGATTTCACAGTGTTGTCAGACTGGGCACCATGATGATATTGCTCAGGGTGAGTGAAGGGAAATGGGAATTGAGAGCAAATGAAAGCAACTGGAATGAGTGGAAATTTTGTCGGGAATTTTGGCAAGGAAAGCTGAAAAGAGGATCAAGAAAGAGGTCTTTCCGGCATGGCTGTAAGGCTCACAAAACAATGACGGTGACAGCAACAACAACAAGAACAACTGCGAGCAGTTTTGTCTGATCCCCAATGAACAATATAGTATGTCGTCATTTGAGATCTGGAAGGTTATTCTGAGCTCTGTACCTTTCCCAGCTTTTCCCTATATGCCACACGTTTCCTGAAATATCACTTTCAAAGGTGACACTTCCCCCCCCCCCAATTAGATTGTCACTCCAGAAAGCAAGGTGTAAATGCCTACCACATTAGATTAAGAAGAGAAATCACTTGGTTATATTTTTAAAAAGGGGAAGAAAAGAAAAGGCAGAAAAAAGGAGCCTGATAATGGACAAAGGGACAGGATTCCCTCAGACATACTTCTCTCACTTCGGAGGGGGAGGTAGGGTTGCTAGGTCCAGGTTGGGAAATACCTGGAGATTTTGTGGGTGGAGCCTGAGGAGGGCGGGGTTTGGGGAGGGGAAGGACCTCAGTGTGGTATACTGCCATAACGTCTACCATCCAAAGCAGCCATTTTCTCCAGATGACCTGATCTGTATCACCTGGAGATCAATCCCAGGAGATTGCCAGACACTGTCTGGAGGTTGGCAACCATAATGGGGAAGGGAGCTGGTCAGCGGGAAGTTCTTTGGTTGAAAGCATTATTCTATAGCTTCTATAGCTTTAGGCAGAGCAAGGAGATCCAAAGGGCATGTTCATAAGAACTCCAGGAGCTGTTGACTGGAAGATCAAGATGTCAGGCAGGAGAAGTCGTCTCAGGCTAAGGATTTTTCAAGGCTCCTTTAATATTAGTTTATATTTGTTGTCAATAATTTCAGTTCTCCACTTTCTGTTCACTTGTATTTTATATACTGTACAGTTTTAAACTGCAATTTTTATATATATGTATACACACACACACACTATCCTGATACCCGTGTTTCGCTATGGTATTTAAGTTTCATAAATCCAGTTATAATACTGATGATGTGAAGTTTGAAATGTAACATTTGTTGTAGGAATTCTAAAGGAGAAGATTTAGGGTTGCCATGTCGGGTGTTGTGCCGCAGCGGGGGACTCCCGGCTGGCGTCTGGAGCGAGTTTTCCCTCGGATGACCGGGGCCCCGCCCCCAGCGTGCCCGGCGCCGTCACGTCCCTTCCATGTGATGTGCACGTCGGGGTGGGGCTCCCCTCGAGGCCCAATCTGCCGCCGGCGGGGAACGGGCCTCTGGGGCGGCGGTTTCCCTGCCCCCCGGGGGGACTTGGCAAGCCTATGAAGATTGTAGTATAAAAAATGAAGTGAGACATACGTACTTTTTTTTTTCTACTGAAGGACCTCTCTGTAGACCACGTTGGTGGTTCTGCCCTCAGGTGCTAGAATCACCAGGCTCCTTGGTGAGTTCACTCTGGAGTAGGCCACATAGAACTGTCCATTTAAGAAGCAGTCGTCTGTTAAGTCAACTCCTGCTACCTTCCATGAAAGTGATGGCCTCTCTACTTGTGCTCCTGGGTTGTTTTGCTCATATGGAGACTGTGTTTTTCTAAGCACCTCAGGATGATCTTGCTGGTACTTGGCTTGTGCAGCTCAGTGTACTGCAGGAGTACTATGTGCAAATGTCTTTGCCGCATTCCTAAGTTGCCTCCTCCTTGTAGCGTTGGTGTATTTGGCTCAACATTTGCCAGGAGCTTTCTTGGGGGCAGTAAGAGGTGAGAGGGGGAGTTGGTGTGAGGGAGTGGTGATGTGGTGGACATTTCTTCAGGTTCATGAGGCAGGCAGGCATCGAAATGGCTCCTAGAAAGATCCTTTACTACCTCCCCATGAACTATCATTAACTCAATTGCCATACTGGCTTTTTTGAAAAATGTTTATTCAGGAGTCTTGAATCGCGGATTTCTGTAATCATTATTTATTTATTATTTTCAATTTATACCCCGCCTTTCCTGCACAGGCAGGCTCAAGGCAGCGTACAACAGGTTAAAATACAATAGAACACGGATGCATAAATGCAATACTATAAAATTCACATAACCAAACAATATACATACAATGTGCAGTTAAGTGCAGATGGCGATTGCTGTCCTCAACTGTCTGCAATCTCTTCTAACTGTGTTTTTACCTCAGAACATTGAGCTCCACATCTGAGCAATCAGAGGGAGGGAGGTGCAAAGCAGGCAGGTCTTACCTCAGAACTCTGAACTACACACTTGACCAATGGGGGGAGGGCAAGGAGGCAGCAGCCTGCCAGGCACATGGGACACAATTGGGGAAACACATTTTGCCCTTTTACCCCCTTAGGGGGTCATGTTTCTCAGAAGTCTCTTCGGGGGGGGGTGATGTCATAGAAGGAATGCACTCCCCTTATTTTGGGTTTCTTGGTACAGGGGTTTGGCCTGGGCATTGAATTGGGGGGAGGACATCCCCCCCTTTCTTTTTTTACAAAAATGCTTCTGTTACATTTAAGAAGTGGGACAATCAGATATTAAACAAGTTCATATGAACCAATTTTCTAGAACCCACATTATGAGAAGTTAAATAACTTAATAAAGGGGCAGCCTCCTTGATGGATTAAAGTACCCAGGCCCTGCTCCTACACCTTACAAACACCTGCCCATGTGGTGTAAGGGGGGGGGGGTTGTGTTTAAAGGCATAGGGAAGCTGGGCCAGCAGCAGCGCTAAGGCAATCCTGCTGAGCAAACCTCCCCAACGGCTGTAAGCATCCCACCTCCTCTTCTACACCTGACAGGCAGCTGATTGTCCAGTGTAGGAGGGGGAAGGAGTATTAGAAGCCACTGTGGAGGCTGGTCCAGCAGCACTGCTGCACCTCACAGATGGTTGTTGGCCATTCCTGATTTCCTCAACTGTCATTACCTCTCTGCAGTCTGCTGTAACTGATTTTACCTCAGAACACTGAGCTCTGCAGCTGACCAATCAGAGAGTGGGGGGTGCAAGGAGGCAGCAGCCTGACCACCACATAGGAAGCAATGGGAGGAGCACATTTTACCCCTTTTGATCACCTTAGGGGTCTTTTATAGATGATAGAAAGATAGATAGATGATAGATAGATAGATAGATAGATAGATAGATAGATAGATAGATGATAGATAGATAGATAGATAGATAGATAGATAGATAGATAGATAGATAGATATTGTCAGGATCAACAGCAAGCAGGTCCAAACACACTCTTCAGGAAAAGTTATGCTTTATTGGAATACTGGTCTGTTGACAAGTGCTACAGGTACATTGTTAGGAATAACAATTAGTGCAAGGGACTTGCTACATATACTCTGATGCTTCAACTAGCTAGGCAAATGAACTTCAAGCACTCACACGGGAATTCTTCCGGCGGGACATTACATCATGAATGGGAGACTCTCCCCACCCCCTGAGAGCAGAAATATTCACATCGATGGTGGAACTCAAGCCCTCCCTTCTCGGCAAGGTTGCGCTGATAGTGCTGTCTGGCTGAGCCAGTTTTCATGGATGAAAGCAAGCCTCCCTTAAGTTACCCACGGCAGCAAAGCAAAGCAAGCATGTGCGTGTGCGCAAGGGTCGGGGATGAAGGTAAACAAAGAAAGCATGGCAGCTAGCTGACAGATATTATACAGATTATTTAAATAATATATTTCTATGCCAACTTTACATCAATATACTTAAAGAAGCATACATACCCATTTTATCATGACAGCAAGCCTATGAGGAAACTTAGGCTGAAAGAGAGGGAGGGAGAGAGAGAGAGAGAAGCCATAAACCACCCAGCCAATGAGCTTCTATGGCAAAATGGAGATTTGAACCTGTCTCTTTGACATCCTAGAGTAACACAACTGGCTCTTGGGATCCAGTGCTGGTTGTGATGTATAGTACTGGTTTACTGATAAATAAATATATCTGACAGGACAATTTGATGAGAGGAAATAACATGGCATGTAAAAAGAAGAAGAGCAGATTCAGTTTGTAAGAGAAAAGCAAAATTGAAAAGCAGGAATTAGAAATTAAAACCGCATATATCCTAAATAGAATCACTCACTGGCTAGCTTCTGAGGGGTTAAAAGAAGAAGAATCAGAATCAAGCTTAGGATACTCCACAGAAGGCACAGAGTTCAAAGAGAAAGGCCCCAAAAATGGCTGTCTGGAAGCCTGATAAGGCACAATTCAAAATGCTGGTACGGACCCTTAAGGCCCTAAACAACTTGGGACCAGGGTACCTGAAGGACTGTGCCGTACCATGTTATCCAGTCTGCTGGTTAATATCTGCCTCTGAAGCCCTGCACTCTGTGCCACCCCTTCAGAAGTGAGTTGGATGGTGACTAGAGTCATAGAATCAAAGAGTTGGAAAGGGCCATACAGGCCATCTTGTCCAACCCCCTGCTTAGGGCAGGACTAGAGGCAGGACAGTTCCTGCGATGGCACCTCACATTTGGAACACTCCGCAGCCTTGAGGCTCACCTGGCACCTACTTTACTTTCTTTAATTTCTTCTAGGTGGCAGGTTTAACTAGGTGTTTTATCTTACCAAATAGGTAGTTTTATGGGTAGTTTTTTATGTTGTATGTCCAACAGCTTGTTTTGAGGGGCTTGTTTTTAGAGACTATGTCATGGAATGTCTTTTTTAGAAGCAGCTAAACTAGGTTGTGTCTTGTGCTGCTTTCTACCTGCACAGTTCATGACATTTATCAGACAACATAAAAATAGAGCTGGAAGGATCCCCAAGGGTCATCCACTCAAGCCCCCTGTAAAATGCAGGGAATTCACAGCTCCCCCCTGATCCCCCAGTGACCCTTGCTGTATGCCCACAGCATTTCTCCATCTTTTCCTCTTCCCAGTCTCACCAGCTGCAAGAGATTGACCTCTCTTTTTTGGTGCACATCTCCAATCCTAGAA